GTGAGATTCACTATATGCCCCGTTTTGATGATGCAAATTGTTTATTTTGTAGGGACCTTCGTGTATATCATCTACACAAAAAGTTAGATCGATTTGATAATCATATTTGTTCAATTTATTATTTTTGTCACCAAAGTCTATTTTTAAAAACATAGTTATCGTCATTTTTTTTTAAACAAATGAGATAAATTGTATATGTTATGATTATCAAATTATTGTAACATTTTTGTATGGATGATATACACGAAAGACTCCATAATAAATAATTTAGATCATTAGAAAACGGAATGCATGGTGAGCTCCACGAGTCTAAACAACACACTCTTCTGGATTAGAGAAAAGCCCAACCCTATTTTATATAAGGGCTAGGCTTCTCTCCAGTCCAAAAGGTGCTTTTCGGCCCATGAGATGCACTACGGGTCATGTTTCTTTAATCTGAACTATTCATTTTACAGAGACATTCGTGTATATTATCCACATAAAAAATTAGATCAATTCAATAATTGTAATTTATTAAATTTACTACATTTGTCTCCAAAAAATATTGACGATAAGTGTATTTTTTAAAAAAGATCATTAATTTTTTTGGTAATAAATGCGATAAATTGAATAGAGTATGATTATTGGATGGACTTAATTTTTTGTACGGATGATGTACATGAAGGACTCTACAAATTGAATGGTTCGAATTATCGAAACGAGACCCATGGTAAGCCCCACAGGTCTAAACAACACCTTCCAATCCAAATTTAGACTAAAGACAATCCAAATCTTCTGTGTAAATTTGTTGTTGTATAAGTTAAAGAAGGGGGATCATAGGCAAATTAAAATAAAGAAAATTTTACAATAGATATCCCATTTTGGGGGTGTGTACCATATGTTCTAATTATGATATTTGTAATATTTTGTTATGACTTACTATAGTGTTAGTTGTGACTTAATTATGATTATGTTATGGCTCATTGGTTAGGGCTGTAAACGAGGCAAGCCGAATCAAGTTTTAGTATGTTTGAGATTGTGTATTAAGATTTTAGCAAGCTCGAGCTGAGTTGGCTTAGATTTGAATTGAGCTCCAACTTGTTCACAAACTGTTGGCTACATATTTTGTACAAGCCAGTTACAATTCGACGTGTGGCAAAGTAAGGGTAGTATGGGGAGACCATTCAAATCTTTGATCCTGATCGTACACGTGGCAGTTAGTATTGGTTGTTGTGAGATCTGAGTAGTAGTGGATCAACAAAGAGATACAAGGTGATGTGGCATCAACGGTTACTCACATTTAAATTCAAATTTAGGAGGGAAGCCTAACTGCAAGTGATGGCGTAATGGAGCTAATCTTGAGGCTACATGATCAGCGATCATGGGGGAGTAGTTCGACGGTTGGAAATACAATTCGATGGTCATCCTTAAGCAATATAAATAGCAGAGAAAGCCCCAGAAAAAAGCCCCAGACTCAGATCCAAAAAACCAGTCCTATTCTACTTTACTTAGTTTTACATATCCTGTTCTTTACATTCCAGTACTTTAAATTCTGCGCTACATTTCATAGGAGTAGTTTCAAGTAAATTGTCGCTGTAAACCTCTACGAAACTGAGTTTGAATCATTGTAAGTTTTTCATTCTAATGAAATGCTTCAGATTTTCTTTATTTGATTGATATTCTGTTTAATTCTCCTAAATCAAGCCACCAGTAAAAGTCCTCTTCATTGAGGCTGAAAGAACTAAAACACAATCGTCTGATAATTGGTTGCAATTAAATTTCTGTAAGGACTAATTGATCCTTACTGGCATGCTTGCAATTACAATAATAACCTTCGAAAGCCAAAAAGCCAACATATATTTTTGGCACACCCGGTGGAAGAAGGCGTGGAAGGAGTGGTAGAGATACCTAATCTAGAGGATAATGTGATAACACATCCTGTGGAAACTCCCATTTTATCAGAACCTATGGTCGAACAGACCAGTACTTCAGAACAAATACCACATGTTCGTAATATTGGACGAGACCAAGGAATTGGACCATCCACTGTCCTATCTACTCAACCAATGAATCCATGGGGAGGCTTAATAGATGTAATGGGACAGTAATTAATGAACACAATGGAAAGGTGGGCAACGTCCTTTTTGGTTCGAATGAATAACCACCAACTAACAAACGTAAGACACATGGAGGAAATTTCGAATGTCCCTCAACAAAGATTGGCTAGAGATAAACAGCCTATGCAGGTTAATGGACATTCTAATGGTCAAACTAGTAATCAGAACCATGAAAGACCATCACCTCAGTCTTGGTACGAACCTGTTCCAAGGCCTGTAGTAGGTCAGAATGTCTCAGTACTTAATAGTGAAGCCATGCAATTTGGTGGAACTGGTCCAGTACAAGAAAACGGCATAAGAATGGTTCCAAATCCCATGTTCGAAGCCATACCTGGCACAAGGGGGTTCACTAATCCCTTATTCGAATTTATACCAGGGGGGTTGGAAGGTTTTCCTACAAATGGAAGAGACACAACACCAGTTCCAACACCTTTCGCAGATCCTTTTGTAGGACAAATTCAAAGGGGTTACCCACACCCCCAATAGCAACCTGCTCCACAGGGACAACCAGTCCCAAACATGCCGCCTTATGGACCAAGTTTGTCCACCAAATCCTGTGTTTGTTCCTCCAGCGGTGGTTCAACAGGCACAAAATTTGGTCCCTAGGGACCAAATTGCTGACATCGTTAGAGAGATGTGTGGACCAATGGCTCGGGGGGTCCAGACTCCTGTATACAGAAAACCATACCCATAATGGGTAGATAGGGTACATGAATACCCAAAAGGTTTCAGGATACCAGATTTTGCCCTTTTTTATGGGAATGGAAACAAGTCAACGGTTGAGCATATTGCCAGGTTCGCTGCTCCGTGTGGTGAGTTTACCAATAATGATTACATGAAGTTAAGATTGTTCTCAAATTCTCTAATTGGGGCATCCTTTGTATGATATATTAACCTTACACCTGGCTCTATCCAAACTTGGCAACAAATGGACAATAAAAGACCATATCCATCTGGTGTCAGGCAGCAGACATTGAAGGTTGGACCATCAGTTGATAGGATGCTTTCCAACTATTTTATCAGATTACACGAATCAAGGCCAGCGTACTTCAGAACAAATACCACATGTTCGTAATATTAGACGAGACCAAGGAATTGGACCATCCACTGTCCCATCTACTCAACCAATGAATCCATGGGGAGGCTTAATAGATGCAATGGGACAGTAATTAATGAACACAATGGAAAGGTGGGCAACATCCTTTTTGGATCGAATGAATAACCACCAACTAACAAACGTAAGACACGTGGAGGAAATTTCGAATGTCCCTCAACAAAGATTGGCTAGAGATAAACAGCCTATGCAGGTTAATGGACATTCTAATGGTCAAACTAGTAATCAGAACCATGAAAGACCATCACCTCAGCCTTGGTACGAACCTGTTCCAAGGCCTGTAGTAGGTCAGAATGTCTCAGTACTTAATAGTGAAGCCATGCAATTTGGTGGAACTGGTCCAGTACAAGAAAACGACATAAGAATGGTTCCAAATCCCATGTTCGAAGCCATACCTGGCACAAGGGGGTTCACTAATCCCTTATTCAAATTTATACCAGGGGGGTTGGAAGGTTTTCCTACAAATGGAAGAGACACAACACCAGTTCCAACACCTTTCGCAGATCCTTTCGTAGGACAAATTCAAAGGGGTTACCCACACCCCCAATAGCAACCTGCTCCACAGGGACAACCAGTCCCAAACATGCCACCTTATGGACCAAGTTTGTCCACCAAATCCTGTGTCTGTTCCTCCAGCGGTGGTTTAGCAGGCACAAAATATGGTCCCTAGGGACCAAATTGCTGACATCGTTAGAGAGATGTGTGGACCAATGGCTCGGGGGGTCCAGACTCCTGTATACAGAAAACCATACCCATAATGGGTAGATAGGGTACATGAATACCCAAAAGGTTTCAGGATACCAGATTTTGCCCTTTTTTATGGGAATGGAAACTAGTCAACAGTAGAGCACATCGCTAGGTTCGCTGCTCAATGCGGTGAATTCACTAATAATGACTATATGAAGCTAAGACTGTTCCCAAACTCTCTAACTGGGGGGGCATTTGTATGGTACATTAACCTTACACTTGGCTCAATCCAAACTTGGCAACAAATGGAAGAGGCATTTCATGCCCAATTCTTCCAATCGGAGCCAGAGGTTTCCATGGCAGACCTGGCAAGGTTGAGTCAAAGGCCTGAAGAGGAGGCTACTCAATTTATTGCCAGATTTAAAAGGGCTCGAAATAAATGTAGAGTCATTTTGCCAGAGCCAGAATTCGTAAGATTGGCTAAAAATGGTTTAGAGTTTAGGCTTCGAAAGAAGTTTGACTCAACAGAGTTCAGGGACTTAATGGAACTGACTTACAAAGTATCTAGTTATGAAACATTACTAGAAGAGGAGCAAGATCGAAATAATGCATCATACAAGACATACTACAAAGATCCTAACTATGAGATTGATGCAGCAGAGATTGTGGGGAAAGAACCTATGATCTGTGAAGCATTAATTCATAAGGATACAACAATTGACCAGCAGTTTAAAAAGAAAGACCTTCACAGGAAATACTCTTTCGATTTAACTAAGGCAGATGACATTTTTGATCATTTGCTTGCGGCCAACTTCCTTAAGTTACCAAAAGGGGTTAAAATGCCATCTCTTGATGAACTTAAAGAGAAAGTATATTGTAAATGGCATAATTCTTGGTCTCACTCGACTAAAAACTGTGTTGTTTTTCGGGACAGGATCCAAGAACAAATTCGGAAAGGGAGTTTGAAATTCCCAGCCAAAGCTGAAAAGGCCATGGGGATCGACAGTAATCCATTTCCAGAAATTGGAGAGGTGGCAGCCAATGTCATTATGCCAGATTTTCAGAACCAGTCTTTGAAAGAATTGGAAGAAGTCAATGTGCAGATGTATGTGGCCAACCAGACAGCTACCAAGAGAGACACTGGAAATCTACCAGTTATTAGACAAGATTTCTCACACCAGGGGGAAGATTCTGATAAGGAAGCACTGGATGACGATTCTTTAGAAGCAGCTGAGAAACAATACTACAAGGATGTGCAGAGACGTCCTAGACCAACCAATGCTTACAATAAAAGGCCGTATCCATCTGGTGTCAGGCAGCAAACATTGAGGGTTGAACCATCAGCTGATAGGATGCATTCCAAAGGCAAGAGGCCTTTACATGAATCCAGGCCAGCTAATTATTACAGAATAGAGGGCAGTCATTTTGAGAGGAGATTAAGGAGAAGTTCAGTTTATGGGATCAAAGCCAGAGATTGGTCCCCTAAACCAGCCTCACGCAAGACAGAAAGTGGACACCTTCATTGAAGGCCAGAGTTAGGCCTAAAGCATAAGGTCAGGACCAAGCAGTGGCCTTCGTAGCTAGCTTCGAGGAAAGCTTCGAAGGAAAAAGGAAATAGTTCCACGGCAGGGTCAATAAGTTCATGGGTACCTGGGTTCCCAGACTGGTTTGTAATGCAGAACAAACCTAGGGAGGTGTCTACCCAGAGAGAGGTTGCTGGAAACCAAGGTAGGATGGTCAGACCTCCTTTGGTGGCTCCGAACAATTGGGTCTTGCTTAAGTACCCAAAAACAAAGGAACCAGATATGGTCCCCGTAATTTTCAGATCACAAAGGAGAAAAATTCAATGTAGGTACACTCAGTACCAGCGAGACCTGAAAGAGAATGGTGAGAGTTCTTCATTGGTACAGACAGAAGGAAGGAAGAATCCAAAGCCAGACCATACTCCAAAACCAACTCTACAAGGCAAAATGGTTTGCAGCAGAGAATAGTTGGCCAAAGTTCACTCTGAACTAAAAGCCAGAGAGAAGTCTAGTTTAGCGGGATTGGAGAAGGCATTGATAGAAAGTGACAGCGAGGTAGAGACGGAAGTTGGTTTAGGCCAAAAGAAAGAAATGGCTAAGGAAGAAATGTTTGAAGCCTTCGTGGCTGAACAAACATTTCTGGTTGAAAAACCAATCGTAACAGACGATTCAAACGATGAAGTACCAGAAAACAGCATGGAGGATGCTTCTGGAGTGACTGAACAAGGTGGTCAAAAGGAGAAGCAGACACAGCCAGCCATCCAATTTGGCTCAGTGTCAATGAACATGGTACACATACTACCGCATGAATTCCAAGCTGAAGATGAGAATCAAGAGGGGCAAGAAATTGACCCAATTCCAATCTCTAGTGAAGCCTCACAAGCGAGTATGGTACAAGATAATTTCGGAATGGTTACCCCAATGGAAACTGAATATGAGAGTGAAGAAGTGGTAAGTATTAACCTCTCGTATCCTTTTGAATATCCCTCGAATTCTATGACACAGCAGGTTAAGCCCTTGTATATTAAGGCCTTCTTTAATAGGATACAGTTGAACCGAGTCTTAGTGGATAATGGGGCAGCGGTGAACTTACTACCGAAATCTTCCTTGAAGAAATTAGGGAAAATGAATGCCAGGTTAATCCCAACCAGTACAACCATTGCTGGTTTTGCTGGGGACAAACAGATGGCCTAGGGAATTCTACCCATCAACCTGAGTGTGGGAACCAGGGACTGCATAACAGCGTTCTTCGTCATCGACAGTAATGCTAAGTACAATGCTTTACTTGGTAGAGATTGGATCCACACTAACAAGTGTGTGCCTTCTTCTTTGCATCAGAAAATAATGATGGCTCTAGGCAATGGGGAGACAGAGAAAATTGATGCAGATCCTCAACCTTTCATAGCCTGCGCAAACTTCGCAAAAGCCAAGTTGTATATTGAGGGAGTGACACCACTCAGTATACTGATGAAATCTGATGGCTCAGCCGAAGTAACGGCTGATGAGGAAGTGACACACCTGAAGCACTTAGTCCAGGAGAGTGCTGATGAAGAGGTGATCGTTAAAGATGACAATGATGCCTGGTTGTAGGCAGCAAGATGAAACACCAGAAGCCAAGTCTTTGGCTTTAATTAAGTTTTCAATATTGGATGTAAAGTCAATAGTCCAGAAAGTGCAGGAGCAAGAGAAAAAAGCCATGATAATTGGCTACAAGCAGGAGCAGCCACAAGCCAGAGTTGTGGCTCTTGATAAATACTATGCATTGGACATAGAAACAAAAGTCCAAGAAATACAGGAAGAAGAAGCCTTGTGGACAGACTTCGTCTATGAGGAGGAGGGTAAAGAGGTTGAATCAAAGAACCTGGGAACAGAACACAACAAGGAGATTGCTTCGAAGCCAGAAGGAATCAAAGAAGGAGCTCCAGTAAGTGCTCAGATACAAGATCCCTTAAATTTAGGGGAAGGTTCTGTACAACAACCCATTTATATAAGTGCTTGAAACTATTAAGCTTGAATTTGAGCAACAACAGAATTGGGAAAAACATTCCTTTAGAGATAGGCCATTTACAGAGCCTTCAAAGTCTTGATCTTGGTTACAATTTGCTAATAGTTAAGATACCACAACAGATTGGTGAATTACAATGCTTAGAAACATTGAATCTCTCCCATAATGAGCTCACTGGTTCCATTCCATTATCTTTTGATAATATGTCAAGTTTGACATTGGTAGATGTATCTTTCAATCGGTTGGAGGGTCCTATTCCTAACATGAAAGCTTTTCGAGAGGCTCCATTTGAGCCGCTCAGAGGTAATAAAGGTTTACGTGGTAATGCTACTCGTTTGAAGACTTGCTTGCCTAAAATGAACAATGAGATTGGTAAAAAAAGGACAAACAAAGTTGTGTTACTAGTTGTCCTTATTTTTGGATTTTTATTGCTTTTGCTAATGGTTCTCGGAATTTTTATGGCTTTTCATAAGAGAACACAACAGATGAACCAAGACAAGTAGATAATCAAAATTTGTTTGCAATTTGGAGCTATGATGGGAAAATGGTGTATGAAAACATCATTGAAGCGACTGAGAACTTCAGTACCAAACATTGTGTTGGGGAGGGAGGATGTGGTACTGTTTATAGAGCTGACCTTCCAAGTGGTCAGGTAGTTGCTGTGAAGAAACTTCATGAATCACCCGATGGTGACTTGACTAATCTAAAAAGCTTTATGAGTGAGATCAGTGCGTTAATAGAGATTCGCCATCAAAACATCGTAAAATTTTATGGTTATTGTTCACACCCGACGCACTCATTTTTGGTTATGAGTTCTTGGAAGGGGGAAGCTTGGGAAATATATTGAGCACAGAGGATCAAGTATTACAATTTGATTGGATTAAGAGAGTGAATGTTGTCAAAGGTGTGGCAAATGCTCTGTCTTATATGCACCACGATTGTTCACCTCCAATCATCCATCGAGACATATGAAGCAAGAATGTTTTGCTTGATTTAGAGTATGTGGCTCACATCTCAGATTTCGGCACAGCTAGATTTATGAAGCCTGACTCATCTAATTGGACTTCATTTGCAGGAACCTATGGGTACACTGCTCCTGGTATGTACTTTTCTATTGCAGTGATTTTATCTCCAAGTCATCCATATAATGTTCATTTTAGTTTATCAATCTTTGTGTATTAAGAGTTTTTTATTTGACTCGATTTAAAAGGGCTATCGAACTTCTAATTGCTATCTGGATATGGAACAATTTTTTATATACTTTTTAATTACTCTTTTCTTCTGTTGGTCATTTGTTTGATTTGGTAGAACTTGCTTATACAATGGAAGTGAATGAGAGGTGCGATGTTTATAGTTTTGGGGTGCTTACACTGGAATTGATTACAGGGAAGCATCTGGGTGATCTAATCTCCTCTTTGTCATCATCGTCATCCTTCTCCTCATCAGCATCAACTGTGCATGGAAGGATGTGTTGGATCAACGTCTCTTACCTCCTAAGAATCAAGTGGCAGAGCAACTAGTTGTGGTTGCGAAACTATCATTTGCATGTTTACAAACCAATCCTTTGTCTCGGCCAACCATGAGACAAGTTGCCATGAAGATATCAGATGATCAAAGTCCACCTTTGCGAAATCAATTTCACATGATAACTTTAGGACAACTTTGATATCGCCTACTCGACCTCTTGAGTATTTGCCTTCTATCCTTAGACTATATGCTGTTCTTGTTTTTCATTTTTGACATTTTCTAGTCTATTTTTCTGCTCTTTTTCTGTACTAGCATTTTAAAAAAATTAAAAAAAAAACTAATTTAAAAATATCTATAAGTTCCAATAAAAAATTTCTACTTATCTATCTTGAATTCATTCAACATTTGAGTCGCTCAGATGATATAAAAATTTATAAATGGGTATGATGTTAAAAACTTACTGTATTCAAAACTTAGCCTTTTTCTACTCTCATTCTGTATTCAAAACTTACTTGCTCTATTCTTAGCAAGTTGTGTGCTAATTATTTATTTATTTTTTACAGAGTAATTTGGAGATTCCTGTACAAAGTGGTGCTGGTACAATGCTTCAAAGAAAGAGAAATTCACAAGGATGAAGTTTGGATACCAAAGAAAAGTTAAAAGTGTGTCATTGAAACCAGAGCATAAGACGAAATGTTGATTTAGCAACTTGTTTGCCAACTTTTGTGAACAAATAAGAAGAAATTGAAAAGAAAAATGAACAGCACAGATTTAGATTAGGATTTTTTGTAATAATTTTGAGTAATGATCTTACAATGGTGGTTTAAACCTCAAAATAGAATCATTATTGTAAAATTATTGTACTAAATATTATTTCATTGAATCATAATTATACAGATATATATACGAGCGCGAATAGTAATGGCGCTTTAACTTAGTTTTGGAATTCCGTCAGAAGTTGGCCTAGTTTTGGCAATACAATACAAAAATGGCTTATATTGGGAAAAGCCTCTGAAGTTTGGATACCAAAGAAAAGTTAAAAGCGTGTCATTGAAACCAGAGCATAAGACGAAATGTTGATTTAGCAACTTGTTTGCCAACTTTTGTGAACAAATAAGAAGAAATTGAAAAGAAAAATGAACAGCACAGATTTAGATTAGGATTTTTTGTAATAATTTTGAGTAATGATCTTACAATGGTGGTTTAAACCTCAAAATAGAATCATTATTGTAAAATTATTGTACTAAATATTATTTCATTGAATCATAATTATACAGATATATATACGGTTGGGTATAAATGGATTTCTTTTAATAGGTGAGAATCATTATTATACAGATTTCTGAGGGATCCATCGATCTTCTCGAAACTTAATTGAATCTTCATTTTCAACTTGCCAACGAAGCCCTTTTAATAGAAGAGGTAGCCTTTAAATGACATTCGAACTTAGTCATCAAGGAGTGGGATAGCCTTTAAATGGATTCCTAGAGGTGCAGATCAGGTTGCACATTGGTTAGCTTATTATAATATGAAGCACAAGCTCCCTTTTGATTGAGTTGGGAACCCTCCATTTGAGCTTAAGGCTTTTCTAGTGTTAGATCCTCCCTGTAAGCCTTATGGCATTTCCTCGTTAAAAAAAAGAAAAGAAAAAAAAAGGAAACCTAATGCTCTTAGCCATCCACTCCAATGCCTTTTTTCATGTAGGTCCTATTCCAGATAATTTGAGATTTAAATCAGCAAATTTGATTGAGGACTTTTTATTTTTACTAACATTTTTCCATTTCTTTATTTAAAAATTTATTTTCTCTTTTCTTGAGTTGAAAATTTAGTAATTAAATATTCATGTTCAAGTTTTGCTAACACACACAAATATATATATATATATATATATTTCAATTGATAATATGAGTAACTCACTTTTTTCAAATTTTATTTTTTTTCAAACTATCCTCGTCTAGTGATTTTAATTTTGAAATTAAATAGAAAATCAAAAATATATTTGAAAATTATAACTTATTCAAGTATGATTTGATTTGAAGAAAGTTAGCTAGAGATAGTGTGTGGATTTCAACTTTTGAGATTCTTTTTTTCAAACTCAACAGAGAGAATTGTATCAGTAAAAGTAAGATATTTTTTGAAAAAATCAGCTAAAATTTTCTAATTAACTAGTGTAGCTTATTTTGACCTTTCTCTTTTGATGGACCTTTTTTTTAATGGAAAAAGTGTGTGGAATGGAGGTGAAATCTAGTATTTCACTCACATTTTATCTATTCATTGAGCAAGTCTTGTCAAAATATGGCTTTGGGAGTTGTTTTAGCACACCATTAGAGATGTTCTTACCAATTGAATCCTATAAACGAATGGACATTGTTCATGAACTACTACTAGTTTTTAACAGCGTTTCATTTAGCACATAGGTTGTGGAAGTTGCGACTTCAATAGTTCTACTAGTTAGCACTTTGGCAACATCGATGAACTTAATTTTGTCTACCCTTTCATTGACTATCGTGGAAATGTGAGGGTTCTTTGACAAAGGCTATTGTTGTGGCAAAAGGATTCACCATGAACAAGGGAGACTGTTGGCTTATTTTTCCTACGAAGGAAAAGATCATAAATGCGAGCGTGCCAGCAAGGATTGAAAAATCCTTACAGATTAAATTCAAGCCAATTACCAAGCGATTGTGTTGACGGTTTTTTTGCCTCAACGAAGAGGACTTCAAATTTGCCAAGTGTAGCGAAAAGAAAAAGTAAAAGAAGAAAAAGGGACGGAGAAAGATGATTGAGTGAACAATCAAAGTAATAAATACTTACCTCTACTCCTATGCTTCGAAAAGAAAGTACATAAAATGCTTCGAAATGGAAATACTGAAAATAAATACTTCGAAATATAAATCTATGTTAAACTACTCCTAAGATAAGGAAAATGACAAGAAATATTGAAATCAATCGTCTTTGATTTAAGTTCTGGATCTTTTGCAATGTAGCCATTAATGGCTATTTATAGAAGAAAAAATACAGCAATAGCTACTTAGTAACTACCCATTTCTTCCATCTTCATTCTAGTCTTGCCATGTGTCTTTCCACTCATCCACTAATACAGCAATAACTACTTAGTAACTACCCATTTCTTCCATCTTCATTCTTGTCTTGCCATGTGTCCTTCCACTCATGCACTTTGTCCTCCCACTCATCCACTTTGTCCTTCATATTCTCCATTATCTGTATAACTTCTTTTAACTTCCAAATGAATAAGAGGATGTCACGTGTTCTGCAATTATATAAATAATAAATAATAATAAAAATTGCAGATTTATGGTGTTAACATATACTAGTCAGTTATTTATGTTCAAATCTTTGTATCTTCTTCCCCAAGAGATCAATGTTATTTCTTCTTCTTCTTCTTTCTCCTCTGTCCAAAACTCTAATCCATCCTACCAAAACTCACCATCATTATCAACATCATTGTTTTTTATTATTTTGAAACTTTAAACCCTAAAAGAAATTTTGAACAAAATCAAATAATGGATGAGAGTAATAATCAAAATAATTTTTTGAAGCAGCCCATCAAAAAGGAGGTAAGTATTCATATAAAGGGGTTTCACAATTTTTATAGAGTACCATCAATTATTTTCTATATCGTTTTTTTAACAAAAATTAAAGGGCTCAGCAGTTAAATTAATGATAACATATTATTGGAGTTGTTAGTGCCTGAGAACTAGTACATTAAATAGTACATTATTTGAGAACTACTATTTTTGTTAGTACCTGATGCTTATGTGTTTATAAGTTTGATTTTTATTTTTCTACGAGCATTCTTGTAGATAATTTATAATATAAAAGTTTTTTTTTCTCTGTATTGAAAAGATTTATAATGCTTATATAAAAGTTTAGTTTTTTCTGTATTTATAATGCCTATATGCTTATAAGTTTGGTTTTTTTTTCCTGTATTTGAGAATTATTATCTGTATTGAAAAGTTTTTGAAATAATTTAGTTTTTTTAATTTGTTTATTATTTATTATTTGAGTTTACCTTGAGGGTAATTTGGAAAAAATAATAGGGTATAATGAGAGTAGAATAAAATTTTAAATAATTAAATAAGGTATATTTAAAAATCATAAGTACGTAATAATTTTTTAAGTGTAAATAGAATCTCCCATATTTATATCCCCAATGAACCCAATTATTGCAATTGCTCGGATATTCTCCTTTTTAGCTTCAAAGCCCAACATATGGTCCATTACCTTAAGGCCCAAAACCAAGCCCATGTTGTATATGATCTAAGATTTTGCAGGTCCAGTAGGCCCATTATGAAACAGCAATCCCCATTCTTCTGAGCCTGATTTTGAGAATCAAAAAGCCCAACCAATAAACAAACTCATCCTCTTAGTCCACTAAATTTTATCACAACCCAATTCATGTCCTCAGATATATAGCACCATTGATTGAAGGGTAATATTTTGTGTGATGAATATATTTTCTCTGTTTCATTTTAAATTTTTTTGAAAAATAATTTTTGAGTTTTTAATTTATATATTTTAGTTTTTAAATATAAAAAAGTACAAAAATAGTACTTTTTTGGGGTGTATTTAGTGAGTTCTTTTTAGATTTATAGAAAAATTGTACTTTTTGTGGGGGAGGTATTTAGTGAGTTCTTTTTAGATTTATAGAAAAATTGTACTTTTTGTGGGGGAGGTATTTAGTGAGTTCTTTTTAGATTTATAGAAAAATTGTACTTTTTGTGGGGGAGGTATTTAGTGAGTTCTTTTTAGATTTATAGAAAAATTGTACTTTTTGTGGGGGAGGTATTTAGTGAGTTCTTTTTAGATTTATAGAAAAATTGTACTTTTTGTGGGGGAGGTATTTAGTGAGTTCTTTTTAGATTTATAGAAAAATTGTACTTTTTGTGGGGGAGGTATTTAGTGAGTTCTTTTTAGATTTATAGAAAAATTGTACTTTTTGTGGGGGAGGTATTTAGTGAGTTCTTTTTAGATTTATAGAAAAATTGTACTTTTTGTGGGGGAGGTATTTAGTGAGTTCTTTTTAGATTTATAG